TTTTTATTCCTTCACAAATGATAAATTGTTTAAAAACTATTTTTATAATCTACATATTACGTTTAATTTGTAACTTAAATTAAAGTTGCTAAAAATAAATAAATAATCTAAGACTAAACTTAAGAAATTACGAGTGAGAATTTAAAGTATTGTTAAAGATTATTCTGAATTAAACACAAGTAACTTCAGAGATTACATTTCAGTGACTATACTTTAGGTCAATAAAACAAATCAATATAATATCACGTAAAGTTAATAAATAATATAAATTTACAAATAAGTAAAAGGTTGCGAAGAATAAGTTTTTATTTGATAAATTATACTCTTTATTAATATAATAATAATAAATAAGTTCTTTATCCGAAGGTATCATAAGGTTCAATCTCATCCAGTAAGATATTAATTTTACTTCTTCCTTAGGTATAGATTAATTGATGAAATTATTTATTAGTATTAATATTTATAAAAAATACAAAGATATTTATACATTATTAGTGATAGTCTTGTTATGACACATGATACTGTGCCTAACCTAATTGACGAATGGTAATCATATTGATCATGAATCTTAACTTTCTAACGTTTCTCTGATTTCTCAAATTTCACTAATTTCTTAGCGATCTCCAATTTCTTTAATTTCACATATTTCTTTAATATATTTAATATCTTTATTTTTTTATATTTTTTATATTTCTTTACTATCTTAAATATCTATTTTATATTGATGTATTTTATATAAATATCTTGTATTTCTACTTCAATAAATGGCAAAGTCGTTACCAATTCTCTAATAAATCAATAACATTTATCTCTAAAACTTATTTTTGCTTATTAAACAATTCATTCTTCTTTAAATCTATATCAATAAAGACGACCTGACCCTTCAATTAATTATTTGTATTTATTTCTTCCATAGTTTAGACGTATTTAAACTCCCTGCTAGCAAATAATCTTTGTTAACTTAACGACAAACAGTTTAAGCTTAACAATATGTTAAATAATTAATAAAATGAACTAAATTAAATATATTTATGGAAATAAAAATGACATGTTACTAGGAAATAAAGTTGACAAAATTGATCAATAAGATGATTATGGCAATAAAAGTTGCTCATTATATTAGAAATTAAGTTGACATCTGTATTAACTTCAATTTACATTGATTATTAAGAGAAACCAAACTGATATCAAGATCTATAAGATAATCTGCAAGGATTAATAATACTATTTGAAACCTATTTTAACATGTTAATTAAAAATTTAAAAACTTTTCAAAACCTTTAAAATGATTTTTTTTAAAATCTAAAACTTGATTAAACTTAATTGAAGAAAACCTTTTAATAGTTTAAGTAAAGTATCTATTATAAACAAATAGTTTAATCTCAAATATCTTGAAACTTAAATTTTCTAAAAATAGTTTAAGGAGGCATCTTTAACAAGAACATAAAATTAATATTTGAATCATCAATTAAATCTTAGATAAAATTACTACGTTACAATACTTGATCAGCTAATTTCAAATATTTAAATATATTTGTTGAATACTATTTATAGGAAGATTTGAATATCATATTATGCAAATATTATAAATAGAGAATGATTATATAATATTGGAGCAAAAACAAAGAAAAAGAAGACCAAATACAAATCTAGTAAACATTTATCTTTTAGATTAAAGAAATTGTTTTTGATTAATTAAAACCACTAGATCTTATTGGCTCTTAAGGAAGAATTTTGGTGATTAGTTGATTCAAATAAATTTGAAATAGAACTATAAAAGATAGTAATAGTTTAGATTTTTATTTTTTAGTTTTATTATTTAAATTGTAATTTTGGATAAATTAAATAAACTTATTATAATATCACATCTTTAAAAAAATTATTAATTCAGATTATAACTAATTTTTAGTATAAAATAAGATCTAAATTACATAGTAACAGAAGTCTAAAAATATTATATAGTTACGTCTAATTTGTAACTCAAATTAAATCACAAAAAAATAAATAATACTAAAACTAAATTTGAGAAATTACAGGTAAGGAATTACAGTAATATCAAAGTTTATTCTTAATGAAATACAAGTAATTTCTACATATTTCAAAGATTATGTTTCAGTGATTATATCTTAAGTCAATAAAATAAATCAATATAATATTATGCAAAGTTAATAAATAATATAAATTTATAAATAGATTAAAGAATTGTGAAGGATAACTTTTTATTAATATGATAATAAAAATACTCTTTACCTGAAGGTATCAAGATTTGATAAAATATAGAAATATTTATAAATTAATAAAATAATCTAAACTTAATATATCGAAAAAATTAAATTTGATTTATTACTAGAAAATAAAGTTAATAAAATAATTAGTAAGATGATTATAATAATAAAGTTGCTATATTACTATTACATTAGAAATTAAGTTGATATTTAGATTTACAGTATATTAATCTACTAAATAATCTACAAAATTGATATTAGAATCATCAATCAATTTTTAACCCAAAATTTACTCATTATAGTATGAGATTTTGCAGTTTTTGATGTTAAAGATTTACAGAAAAATAATTAACTAATCAAAAAGAGTGTTGATATTTAAAAAGAAAAAAAATTTTTTATTATATGAGATTTGTATATTCAAAATATACTATATTGATTATATTGATTCTGAATATCAGTTAAGATATCCCTTAATATTATCTTTTGTAAAAAATATTAAAAAAATAAAAAATAAAATAATAGTAACAAGAAAAAAAATTAAAAATAATACTATTTAGACTATAATTACAATTTTTATATATATAAGGGTATATATAAGAAATAAAAGAGTAATAATTTTTAAAAAGGATTTATTTGTTTTATTTTACAGATAAAATTATGTCTACTTTTGAATAGATATTTTTTTAAGTAAAAATTCTTAGATTAAATTAAATGAAATAGAAGAAGAATATTTTTTATATAAAAATTAGTTTAATCTAAAAATGATACAGCAATTAATTTCAAATTTATAACTTGTTACAATATAAGCTAAATTGATTGTAACATATATAGGTTAAAACTAATTATAATATATATTGTAACATTAAAGTTACAACATATTAATTACAGTTCTTATCTTTAGTCTAATCAAAATTTTTATAGATTGATTTTTCGCTAATCTGCTAATTTCATTTTGATGAAATTTAGCTTTTAGAATCATCAGACTAAGATGAATTTGAATTTAGTATCAGTTTTTTAGTAGCTAGCTTATTGAAAAATATTTTTAACTTAAAACTTTATTAAGTAAGAAAATTTGATATAGATCTTTAATTATGCAAAATTGATTTTACTTTAGAATTTTACAAAATTATCTAGTTTTGAAGTTTAAAATAAATATAAAATCATATTTTAGCATTCATGATTGATAGATTATAAGCATTTAAATGTAAGTAACTTTGGTTGTATAGGTTATTATAGTAATTATTTAAATACTTATATTAAATAAAATTTATCTCTTATTTAAAGAATAAAGTAATGATTTTTGATAATAATAAAAGAATCAGTAAAATATATACAATATATAAAAACGTTACCAGTAAACTCAAGTCATAAGATATAATAAATTATATGATCAATAATGGTAATACTTACATAATATAATTTTAAACAATGTATTTTTTTTATAAATAATGTTTAACTATAATAAAAAAATTACCAAAAATTTTTGTTATTTTATTTAAATTATAATATTAATTTATAAACTAATTTTAGATGTATATTTATTAGTATTAAATATTTGACATAATAACAATTAAATACCATAATGTATAAAGTTTAATCAAGTTTTTTATATTTTAATATTTAAATAGTTATAAGAACTATTAAGATGACCAACAATACGTGATTATTTTATAATTTTTGAAACATTAAAAATTAAATTTAAGAGATAAATTACAAAGAATAAGATTTTCAATTATTAGTACACAAAATCTAAAAGTATATCTCAAATTTCCATTTCTAATTTGCTTATGCTGATTTTTCTTCATTATTTTTAACTGCTAATTTGAAATTAAATCATTAATGTAATAAAAGATTTCTGATCTTTACATTCTTTCCCTATCCTAATAATCTGATGGTCCAAATTTTTTGAATGTTTTTGAGAGTTGATGCATCAACTGCGTAATTCACGAAGTAACCATTTATTTTGCTAAACTTAAAATTATTATAATATTCACCTATACTATATATACTACACTAATGTTCAACATGTTTTTTTAACTTTATAATATTTCTAACGAAAAGAGTCTTTTACTTTATCGAATATGTAAACTCACCTTATTGGAAAAACGTTGTTCATACTTTACAAATAACGATCTTTTGTTGTTCGTCCCTTAAAGTTGGTAATTATTATTTCTAATATTAATTTTTTTTATAAAGCAATTGTTATAACTGGAGGAAATAATTATACTTGAATATTTTATTTTCAAAACTTAGATAATTTTTTTTGTTATTTCAATATCATTTACATCCTTTAACAGTTGAATTCTTGTATTCTCTTGTCAATACATTCAATTGGATTGTATTTGTGCCATGTGATGAGAAATTCACTTGTAATATATAATCATGTAACTAACGATTAATCAGCTTTTATGAATCCTTCCTTTTTCCATCTCTTATTGTTCAAAAATAATTGTAGGAAAAAAAAAGTTAAAATTTTGTGGTCGGACTTTCATTCCTACATCCGCGGTAATTTTTCATTGATAAAAGCTATTTCCACAAATACTTTTGTATATTGTTGTGTATCACGCTTCTCCTAATACACTCATGTGCTACATTTCATTGAGAAGCTTATTTCAATAGATGGTGATAATTATTTAAATTGTCACTCTCAAATTTTATATAAAATTGCCAATATGGTATTACAACATTTTTAAAACCTTGTTTCCATTTTCATTTTTTGGGGGGTTTTTTTTTTTAAAAAAAAAATTTTCGTCAAACTCGCCTAATAAATAAAATATGAATTCAAGTTTCAATAATTCGGCTTTAGTAAACTCGAATTCATCATTTAATCAAATGAAAGACTCAGAGTTACGTGAAGAAGACATTGAAGCAAAAGATAATTTAGTTGAAAATATTCAAGATCCTCATATTGAAAAGTATGGTAAACTTCTTCAAACTCATGAAGCATTGAAGAAAAAACTTGAGGAATTGCAAAAAAATTATGAAACATCACAAAAAATTCATGAAGAATTACGAAAAGATCACGAAGAATTACAAGATAAATTTCAATCTGAAAAAGCACAATTAGCATATCGATTAGAAACATCAGAAAATATTAATACTAAAATAATTGAGAATTACAGAAGAAATGTTAATGAATTAAAGCAAGCCAATGCTGAATTGAAAGAACAAGCATCAAAATATCAATCAGCACTTGGAATTGCAAAGACCTTTCGATTAGGTGATGAAGATAAAAATAATTCCGTACAACTTAGAGATGATATATTAAGTTTACAAAATGCTCTAGAAATTTACGTAACACATTTAAGACCGAAAATACATATCGATACAAAAATGGTAAATAAACTTTTTACCAATTATCAAAGTAAAATTAAAGTAAAAACTACAGATATTGATTTTCCTTCTATTAAAGCTGTCTTACAACGTTATGTCCTTGAAACAATTTTCGGTTATATAAAAACTTATCTCGATCGTTCGAGTTCAGTTCTTGAAATTTTTAATCGTAATGATTATAATAATCTTGAGGCACAATTTGTTAACAAGGCAAAAGAACTGGATAAATTAGCAATTGAATTCACAAATACACGTGTTGGAACCGATAATGTAACTTCAGCTGTACCCATTAAAATAAGGCAACAAATTTACGCAGCTTTAGGAACTCGTGGATTTTCCAACATTTTGAATTTTGAAAACAAAGCAAATGAGCATAATTTCATCAAATTGCACAAAGATAAACTTAACAAAGAAATGGATTCTTATCGAAAGTTTTTAGATCCTGCAAAGGAGAAAGAAATCAAAAAAAAAACTGCAGATATCATCCGTGAAGTTATTAGGATATTTTTCTTTCGCCTCAAAACCCAAGAACCAATTGCAGAATATGAGTGGATTGGTCATAATGAAGAATTTGATCCAAATCGAATGACGGGATCCTTGGATGAAGATGATATTGAAAATGCATACGTGGATTTATGTATTTTCCCTCTTATTTATAAAAAATCCAATTCTTCCTCGTCAAATTTACAAGTTTATACTCCTGCAAAAGTCCTAATCCAACATAAAAATTAATGGAACAAAGTATAAAGAATTACCATTTTACAATTCATTAAACATTGAAGATTTATTTATTTATTGCTCGATGATAACGTTAATATAAGAATAAAAAAGTGACAAAGCTATGGATTTTTTTTTTTATTTTTTTTTAATTTCATTAGATTAAATAATTTAAATAATTTATTTATTTCTCAAAAGTTCTATAATGTTCACGCCCTAGTGAATGAATCAATCATTCTCTTTATCTATTTCAAAAGTAGCAAGATAGTTTTGTCCATTTGTTTCATTTTTTGCAGTGGCAGTAATTTCCATGCTGCCAAACGATAAACCAAAGCTAATATTTCTATTAAACTCACTATTCGGAAAATTTATCTTGAGCTTTCCTAATAATTCCATCCCAGGTTCGTCACAATATTCGGCATCATATTCTCGTGTGTAATATATAGAGAATACCGCAATTTTTTGTAAAAGATCTATGGGACAGAGATTTCTTACAATTATCTCTTTGTCAATTTCAATTTCTTCACCTCGCTTAGCAATACGATGAAATTTCAAAATATCGCCTCTAAAATTCTTTCGTTCTTTTGGATCGGTTGATTTCCAATTTTCAAAAATTTCAATGCCATAAGTGAATTTTAATACACGAGTTGTTAATATACATTTTACATTATCCCCATTTTCTAAATTATTGATCTTGTTATAAAATCCTAAACCGTATAATGTAGCGCCACGAACTATGGCGGCAATGGGATGAGTAGGAACTGAAATCGTCTTCACCCTATCTTTGAATTTTAGTTTAATGCAACTTTGTAAATATGCCGATTGACTAAACCCACCAACTAAAAACATTGTTGAACATTCATTACGACAATTTTTAAGTTGTACCGTTATTAAATTAAGTATCCTATCGATAATCGGATCAAACATTGATTTAATATCATCATAATTGATATCAATAATCCATTCCTTTTCATCCATTGATTTTTTAAAGCTATCGGTAACATATTGTTGCAATTCACGTGCTGTGTCCAAAAGATCTAATTCATAGTGAAAATTTTTATCTTCGCCAGTGAATGGAAGTTTGGCATGTCGACAAAATTTTTGAACCATATATTGCAACTGTTTATAATTATTTCCTTTTAATTTGTCGATTGCAGAGTGACCTAAAAGATTTCCCAAATACTTGAGAAATTCTTGGTCGATAAATGTGCTTCCACAATAATCCCCTGCTCTTTCAGTAACTTCACCAACCTTCTTTTCACCTACAAGTTTTCGAGTTGTTAGATCCACTGTGCCCCCTCCACAATCAACAATCATGAAAGTTGCTAATAAAAACATAAATTGAAAAATTACTCGATAATTCTATATTTTTTAAATAAAATATAAAATATTACACAAAGCACATTTTCTTATTGAAAGAAAAATAAACTTACTTCCTATACCAGTCGAATCGTATTCTTTTAAACAATTTTCCATACAATAGACCGCAGCAGCTTCGGCTAATTCATAATAATATTAGTTATGATTTTGAACCTTAATATAAGAAAAAAAATCCAATCAACATACGTTCAGTAGTAAATTGTAAAAATTGTGTATATTTGTCGTCAATTAATTTGGCATTGTATGCACATTTTCTCATTATCGCCTTTTCCTTTTCTGAATATTCTGCGGGAACACTGAGTACCAAAAGGACATTCTTAAATAAATCTACATCATCCCAATGGGTTTTAAGTGTATTTCTAATCAACTTTTTTTTTTTTTAAAAAAAAAAGGGAAAGAAATATAATATATATATATATATATTTTTAAAATAAATAAATATCAATGTAAAAAACTAAAGATCATTTTATTCTTACTTTTCCAATTTCTTCAAGATAGTCAGTAATAGCTTTTTTATATTTAATGGGAAGCTTAGGTCTTAAATTTTCATCTAAATTTCCTAAATGTAATTTAAATAATTCCACAGGTCTAGTTTCTGATTTTTTTTCACCCCTTCGACTTCGTTTAGATAAAGCAGGCTTTCCCCATTTTTCCACATTTTCGAAGATTTTATCATATTGAAGAACAGTGTTTGTTTTAAATTGACCAGCGTTATCGGGCCATTGGTCGTTTGTAATAATTTCTTTGTTATCAGATGCTACATGACAGTAAGAAAATCCCTATAAGGAGGAAAAGGTAATGACTAACATATTTAAATTGATTTATGATATTAACGAAGAATTAAGTAAATGCATGTTACCGAATAAGTAGTTCCGAAATCTTTAAAAAGAATAAAAGAAATATAAAGGATATTTATCATTTTAACATATTAATTGTTATTCCTAAAGGTAATAATCAATCATAATTACCTATGCCAACCACCACTCGAATATCTTTTTTCCAAGACATAAATTTCAACTCTGTATTTTAACGATAAGAAAATTTTCTGATAGTATATTATATATACTTATATTATGTACGTCATCTATATACGGCACACTCCAATAATAAAAATTCCGACTAAATGTTAGTAATACATTGTTGACTGACGTTTCTTAATAATTTCGAACTTATCACTAAAAAAAAGGTTTACGAAATAAGTAAGTAGAGATTTTTAAATAAAGTAGAACCTATTTGGAAGGAGTCACAATTTAACTCCAGGAAACATTCAAAACCCTGTTGTGTGACATTGATTACATAACCCGCAGCGACCTAAAGATTTTGTTCCTCCTTTCAAATTATTTCCAAAATCCGAATTGTATTACATAAGTGGGTGTTATTATATCTAAATTTGGCAAACAGGAGTACTGATGTATTTTATATTTTGAATTGTCCGAACCAATCAACTCTTGAGATTTAAATCATATGACTCATATCGTAAATGTCTTATTATGATCGTTTCTGATCAATCACGAGAAGAAATGACTTACATAATGGTTACAAATTTCAAATATCGCTAATGAATAATCAATTATGGCCTTTTTTAGAAACCAATCCATTTCGTATTATAATGACAATTATGTTCCCTCCATTTTCCAGTTCGTTCATTAATTATTTTAGAGATTGGGAAGTTTCAATCAAACTATCGTTTTTAACCATATTTAATTATAGTTATAATAGGGTTGATACTTGATAACTTTTGAGACTTAATATTTGACGTCAAAATCTTGAGAAATTATTAATATTTTGTTAATGTTGGAGATAATTAGTAAATTATCCAATAAGAATCAATAAATGTTATTACACCAATACAATAAGTATTTTAAAACTTTGAGTTCCAAATTTATGTCTAATATTTTAACATTAAAATAATTTTTTGACAGAATTAACACGTTATTACAATCAAAAAAAAAATATATAAATTCAATGGATACTAGACAAAAAAAATATTGAGCATTTTAATATATGGAATTAGGAATGAAATGCCATAATTCTTTTTTTAATTAAAAAAAAATTTATTGGTTAAATGTACAAACCCAATCTGTAATTTATTCAAAGAACTCGATTAAAATTTTTCAAGAGAATTCGAAATCAATCAAAATTTTTCGTGTGACAATGATTCCTTTAATGACTTTGCCCTTATAATTTATAAGAACTTTCTATATTTGGTATTGTCTAATTAGTAAGATATTTCTAAGTATTGTCCTTCCTCAAAATATCTCCAAGAGATTATTATGCTAATATATTACTTAGATATACTTTGTGATCATGAGCGAAATTCTATTTATTAACAGTCAAATATTGTCTAATTTATTTATCTTTATCGTCTCATAAATTATTCTATTACATTAATCAATGTTTAACATAGTTTTAAACCGAATCTAATAAAAATTTTCAACTTGCTTTTGCCGGCCGCTTCTAAATTAAAGTGTTTTTATTTGTTCCTGATAACAATCATCCAAACTATTTTGTGCACTAATACTTCCTAATTCGGCAGATTTCAAAAACCACTCAAAAGCTTTCTTCTCATCTTTATTTGTTCCAATTCCACATTGAAAACAACGTGCAAGGTAATATTGTGCAGTTTTATCTCCCGTTTCGGCAGATTTCAAAAACCACTCAAAAGCTTTCATTTCATCTTTGACTGTTCCAATCCCACATTGATAACATCGAGCAAGGTTATATTGTGCAGTCTTATTTCCCATCTCGGCAGATTTAAAATAACATTCAAATGCTTTCATCTCATTCTTTTCAATACCTATAGCGTATTGATAACAACGTCCCAACTTTCTTTGACCATTTGAACTACCATTTTCGGCAGATTTTGAATACCAAACAAAAGCTTTTTTTTCATCTTTAATCGTTCCGATTCCATTTTGATAACAATGTCCTAAATTATATTGTGCAGTTTTATTACCTGCCTCGGCAGATTTCAAATAACATTCAAAAGCTTTCTTTTTATCTTTATTAATTCCTATCCCATAATTATAAGCACGACCTAAATTATATAGTGCGGTAACATTTCCTGCCTCGGCAGATTTTAAATATAACTCCAAAGCTTTTTTCTCATCCTTTTCAATACCTATCCCATATAGATAACAACGTCCTGACTTTCTTTGACCATTCGAACTTCCATTTTCTGCAGATTTTGAATACCATTCAAAGGCTTTTTTTTCATCTATAATCGCTCCTTTACCATATTGATAACAATCACCTAATTTCCTTTGACCACTAGCATTTCCATTTACAGCAGATTCCAAATACCATTCAAAAGCTTTACCTTCATCTTTATCTATTCCTTTATTGTATTGGTAACAACGACCTAACTTATATTTTGCTGTGACATCTCCTCCTCTCGCAGATATTATATATCGTTCAAATTTTTTCTTTTCAATTTCCATCTCATGTTGACGGTTAAAATCTAAATTAATAATTTCTTCTTCTTCATTACTACAAGTTTCAGGATTATTATTATCAAAATTTAAATTTAATAGTAATTTCGAATAATTTTTCCTTTCATCATCAATTACATTCGCATTTGATTTGTTAATATTTTTAAAATTTTTAAATTGCGAAATTTTAACTTTGGGTTTAATAATGGTCAAATCAATCGAATTTCCCGAATTACCTTTAGATAAAATAATGTCCTTATAATATAACAATGACAATAAATATTTTGCTATGGTATTATTAACAATTTGAACTTGTTTAATTGCTAACGAATACATTTTCAATGCGACATCTTCATTAACGTTACATCCTATCCCATGTTGATAAAAAAACCCGATTAAACTGGTAAACCAGGCTTCACTCTCTTCATGATTCTGCATGAATTCAAGAGAAGTTTCAACATTCAAATCGTTTTGTTTAAGTGTATTCTTTATCCATTCGATTGATGAATTCTCAAAATTATCAAAAGAAATCGTATTGATGATTTTATCATAAAAGTCCTTAATTAATTCTTTAAACATACTTTCATCATCCTTGAAAAAAATCAATTTGGTTGGTATTGGATTATCCATATCCGGAATTTTGAATAGTTTTACCTCTGAAATAAATTTTTTGCAAAGAACAAGGAATAATAATTGAAAATTTACCCACGAGAACAATATGTACTACATAAATATATAACGTAATCAGTAAATCATGTGATCGGTTTTAAATTTCCCGTCAAGAAAACCAATCATTGATTTCGTAAAATCTCGAAGCAATATTAGAAGAGTTAAGATTAGATGAAAATAAAAAATATTTCTCGTATCTTACCAATAATTTTTCTAAAATGCCGGAACCTATTATTGGATATTCGCAGCGCGATATTGCGCCATCTTCAAGAATTCGGCACGTGTATTGGAAATGATAAAACTGAAATAGTTTCAACAAATATATTTGCCTTGGAGATATCATCAAATACACTTATTAAATGTGTAGATAATTTATAAATTTATTGATTTTATGTTTTATTTCTCAATTTAACACTTATTAATATGAAACATTAAGGCTGATTTTGAAGTATTGCAATGCTAACCAGAATAGTTCCGGAAGCAAAATAGCAACTATCATTTCAAGTATTTATTGATGTAATTTTATTACATTACACAATATTACAATACCTATTTAGTGTAGGAAAACATATCGCATTCACAGGATCCAGGACTTTCGTGATGGATGAAAAGTTCATGGTTACTGTTAATTTAACCAAGAAACAAATTTTGTGGTGTTCAGTTCACTTGATTCAAAAATAATAAATTGCTAAGTGGGTACGTTTCTATTGACGAAGTCCCAAATATACATGTAGTTGATTTATGAAATTAATTAGTCCGGAGCGTAGCGAAGGACTGACTCATATGTCCCGCATTCCCCCCGCTCAATATTTGAGTCGATCTGTTATTGGTTACCACGCATAACTCTAATGTGTGAAGCAGGGTGGACATACTTATATCACATGTCGATCATTTTGCCGATCATATTTTGTATTATCACATCAGCGTTTGCA